AGATACTATCCACCCAGCAAAGTAGGATGTCCACCGGTTTAAGATGAGAGGGGTTGAGCAAAAATATGAGAGTCCTTTCCCAGTTAACTATAATCCCCGAGAAGTTGCCAAACTAGTCAATTATTTGTAGGGCTGATTGCAATGAGGTGGATGTGTCTCTAAGATAGAGGAGGGTGTTGTCAGCATACAAGGACAATTTGTCCTCTCTGCCACTCACTTCAATACATTTCACTGAATCTGCAGCACAGAGTTGGATGGCCGAAGGCCTTAAGACTGGATCGAACAGGCCCGGGGAAAGGGAGCAACCTTGCCTCATTCCTTTAGACAGGGGAAATGGGTCAGACAAGGAGTTGTTGGTTCACACTCTAGCTGTAGGAGCTGAATAAAGCATGTGCAATAAACAAAGAAAGCGGGGGCCAAAGTCAAATTTGTGAAGGATAGCCCAGTGGTAGTTCCACTCAACAGAATCAAAATATTTTCAGCATCTAAGGAGCATCTAATGTGGTTGTGCAAATAACATATATATACATACAGTAGAACCAATATATCACATAAAGTCCACTCAGTCCCAATGTGCTCAGTAATGAAAAAATGACAAACTGAATGAATTCCAAATTCTCTAGTGCTGAAACCCAATCAGTCCCTCATGCCTTGGTAAGTCAGTTCAGATGTGCCCTTACCTTATTTGATGGACCGCCTTTGCTAAAAAGAGGTTATAGACAGCATTACTTCTTTAGCAGCCGATTGCTGCCAAAGCACCAGATAAACAATTGCACAATCCCGTAAGTAAACAAAGCAATATGTCACAATAATCCAGAATGGGTTGTTGTGCATACAGTCCTACTCTCTAGTCCTAAATATTATCAGGAAGGTATGTACTTAAGGATAGACCACCTCAATTGAAATGGACAGTTGTCATAATACTTATTTTTTAAATAATCCAAGAGGACAATTAGGCTAAGAAGGAATTGTATAAATGAAGAAGTGTATTTGGAACAGGCCGCATTGATAGGAAACAGATTTGAGGAAGATTTTATACAGAAGGAAATAAGGGAATTAAGAAATCTAGGACGAGAGATGTTGATTAAGGATAAAAAGAAGACCAAGCCACAAGGACCCTGTCTGGGTTAAGGACAAAAAAAAAAGGTCATCTAATGCTGTGTATGACCTCTTCATAGTGAATGGGGTCCATCAAATAAGGCGAGGGCACATAGGACCTGTGTGGATTCACCAATGCATGTCGGATTGATTGAGTTTCAGCACTGAAGAATTTAGAATTCATTCACTGTTCGATTCTAATTTTTTTTTCATTACTGAGTACATAGGAACTGAGTGGCCTTTACCTGATATATTTGTTCTACTTTATATGTATTTGTTATTGGACCCTATCTGTCTCTTCTGTCATAAATACGTCCCCTGTCTGTCAGCTGTAATGTACAATAGCAGCTCAGCATGCATTAAGGCATGCTGACCTGCCACTTGTAGTCCATTGACACGTCCTACAACTCCAAAACTGTCAGCCCATGCAGAGTAATGGGCACAGAACTGTAGACAGTATCGCTGAGAGGCTGAGCCAGCTGCCAGTCCAGGAATCTGGGTGGATCCCGACATTAAAGTTGAGATCTTTCCAGAACCTAGACAGGCTGAGTGATGTCTGCTGACAGCGGGCTTTAGCCTGTTGTCAGCTGAAAATGGGTAACAGGAGTGCAGAACTAAGTGCATTCATGTGATCCCCAGGAGAAGCTGGGCCATAAGAGCTTTGGTTTATACCAAAGACCTGGTTCACACTAGCCCGCAGGCTGATTGCGGGTGCAGGATTTGCTCCTGTTCCCACCCATGCAGCCTAATCACTGCTTCCCGGCACCCCAATGCATCTCAGCTCACAGAACGATCGTGGGTGCTTTTTTGAAAAGGTGCATAAACCTTTTTTTTTTTTGCAGGAAACGTGGGCATAGCAAACCATTTAAGTGAATGGGCTGTCGTGCCTACGCATGTGCAGGCTGCACTAGTGTGAACCTATCCTAAAGCTTTCAAGATGCAACAAATACCTGGAAAGTGCTTTCTGACAGTAAATAAAAACTACCTGCAGTATTTGTCCTGTAGCATCATATGAAGATTTATAAGATTTAAAATATGATTTGTGCTAAGCACTTAAAAACCCTTGTTCAGGTGGCAGAAACATTAGGATAGCAGACTTTCATGCATGCTAATAGTTTATGGAGTTTTTGTTTTTTTTTATTTCGCTACATCTATACACATTTGTACATCACTGTAATCGTGAAAGATTGCCTATCTATTGCTTTGTGTAATCAAACTTCCTTAAAATTCCTTGACAATTTACATACCTTGCCTTTACTTACATAAATTTGTAGTTATGTATGGAAGGATATTTAGAAAATGGAACGTGTATATAATTTACAGGTAGTATGTACATGATATACTCGGACAGTATAGCCATGCAGGTCATGTTGAGAAGAAACTAAAGCAATCATAAAGCCTCCTACTGTAATCTGTAGTACAGTAAAGCCCTGTTCATAATTTCTGCACAGTGAGTGGAGCCGTACAAATCATTGTTTTATGCCCTTTTGGCCAGATGCATATTTTAACATAATCTGCATGATTATGCTGTCCTGTTTGGATCCCAAGCCCTACTCCATGCTTTCTATACTCTGCACTGAAGATGTCCAAATAGCCTGAAATAGCTGTATACAGGTTGGAATGAATGGCTCTGTAATATTAGAATGGATTTGTATTATACACCAGTGGTTCTAGAAGCGCATCATGCTAAAAAGGGGTTAAATCCTCTGCCAACTGTCCTGAAATCATGAATTTTTTTTGAGACATTTGACAGAATGAAACATGTGAATACATTTTTGTGTTAAGAAGGCATTACTGTGCTACACACTGATGAGAGTGGGGGGGGCTTTGATTCCTTTAGTGTGTTCTCATCACCACCATGGTTATACTGTCTCGTTGGATCCCAGGCCTACTCCACAGAAGTCATTGTTTTCATACACTGCACTGATAATAGCCTTAAATGGTTGTATGCAGTTATGAATAAATTATTATTATTATACATTATTTATATAGCGCCAAAAGGTTTGCTCAGCGCTGTACATTATAGTGGGGGACAGTACATGAGACAACACAGTAACAAGACAAAACACAAGGGGTTCGAGGGCCCTACTCTTTCGAGCTTACAATCTAGGAGGGAGGGGATAGTGGTACAGGAGGAAGTGGCTGTGGGGGATGGAGTAGTAGGAGGAGTGTAGAGTGTAGATAAGCAATTAGGTGAGGGTGGGGTAGGCTTCCCTAAAGAGATGGGTTTTCAGGGTGTGCCTGAAGGTGAGGAGGGAAGGTGACAGTCTGATGGATTGGGGTAGAGAGTTCCAGAGGATGGGGAAAGTCCTGGAGAAGTCCTGCAGTCGGGCGTGGGAGGTGGAGACCAGGGAGCTACAAAGTAGGAGGTCTTGTGAGGAGCGAAGATTACGGGTAGGGTGGTATTTGGGTATCAGGTCGGTGAGGTAATTTGGGGCAGCGTTATGAATGGCTTTGTATGTCAGTGTTAGTAGTTTGAATTTAATGCGTTGGGCAATCGGAAACCAGTGGAGGGATTGGCAGAGGAGGGTGGCAGATACGGAACGGTTAGTAAGGTGGATGAGTCTGGCCGCAGGATAGACTGAAGCGGGGATAGTCTGTGATGAGGTAGGGGCCGGTGAGGAGGGAGTTGCAGTAGTCGAGTCGTGAGATAAGGAGTTGTTTAGTAGTGTCTGGGGTTAGGAACGTACATATCTTGGAGATGTTGCGAGATGGAGCCTGCATGAGTTTGCCAACGATTGGACATGGGGGTGGAAGGACAGGTTTGAGTCAAGAGTGACACCTAAGACTTTGGCTTACGGGGTGGGAGTGATGGTGCGTTGTTGGTCGTGATTGAGAGGGTGGGGGGCACGGGCTGGAGGGAAAATTAGGAGCTCAGTTTTGGAAAGGTTCAATTTGAGGAAATGGAGCGACATCCAGTCTGATATGTCGTTCAGTAGGTGGGCGATACGGGCGGAGACTGAGGGGGTGAGGTGAGGGGTGGAAAGGTAAATTTGCGTGTCGGCGTAGAGGTGGTAGTTGAAGCCGTGGGAGTGTATCAGTTTGCCAAGGGAGAAGGTGCAGATGGAGGGGCCGGGTTCAGGTTGCGGAGGTTACGGCCGATGATGGTTTGAGGTTCGGGGGGGGGCGGGGTTAGAGGATGGGGAGATAGAGAACGTAATAAGGTTGTGGTCAGGCAGAGGGAAAGGGGTGTTTGTGAGGTCATGGAGGGTGCAGAGATGGGAGAAAAAACGAGGTCCAGGGTGTTCCCGTCGTTGTGGGTGGAGGACTGTGTGCACTGAGTGAGTGAAAAAGAAGAGGTTAGGTGGAGTAGTTGGGATGTAGCCAGGTTGTTGACATTGATAGGGATATTGAAGTCTCCATGGCTTGATAATATTAGGCTTTGTTTTTATTATATACAAGCAGTTCTGGATGTGCATCTGGCCAAAAAGGCATAAAGCAGTGAGTTGCATTGCCCTAACACCCCCACCCCACCCAACCCACCATGAAATGAGGAATAATCCTCTTCTTTTCAGGATATATTTTGGAATGAAACATTTGATTACTTTCTGTTTTAGGAAGCTTTACTGTGCTACACACAATACGCTTAATATTCCAAGACCCAGGTTAAAAATCACCTTTTGGTCAAAACAGGGTTGTCTTAAGAAAAAAGAGTCTTTGCCAGTATGCATTGTTTAATAATGTAAAGCCTGGATGTGGTTGAAAATTATGTCCAGTTGTAGTATAAATATAGATGGAAGGCACATTGCAGGATATAGGAAACCAATGTGAAGAATTGTTAACACTGCCTTGAAAGTTTAGTTTTTTTCTGTCTTATTTTATAAAGTATGAATGACTGTTGCCATTATATACGAATAACCAATCTGTTATAAACTATTAATTACGGTATATTTTCTTTTTAGAGGCAGCTTGCAAGCTTGTTGTTCGAACTTGGATGTACAAGCTCAGCTCTTCAGATATTTGAAAAACTAGAAATGTGGGAAGATGTTGTTGTTTGCTATGAACGAACAGGACAGCACGGAAAGGTGAACACAACAACTACTGTTTGAAAATATGATTGTTTTCAGAAGTTACTGCATGTGCTGTTTTCTATTATCCTAACTAACTATTAATAACTGGGTATGAATGAAACCATCTAGTGATCTGTAGAGTTAAAGTGAATGCAAACTTGCTGATTATGTATAATGCACTTCCTATGTAGCGGTTTCACACTGATGGTGCTTAGATAGTTACTACTGTGAAGATTCATTAAAACTGGGAATGCCGCTAAACTAGAACTTTTCATCTTAGGACACAAAATCTGAAAACATTTTACACCTCAGATGGTTTTTAGTAGTTATATCCAAAGCAGTCACTTTTTTCCTGACTCTATTCAGGTTTCCTCTAGTGCCTGCGACTATACACATTAAATAGGGCTATAAAAACATGACTTTGCAAACACATACAAAATGTGATTTTAAAAATACTGCTTTAATCAGTCCTTATTCAGAATTCTAACCGATGTTATATTCAGGCGGAGCAGATTCTGCGAAAAGAATTAGAGAAGGAGGAGACCTCACACCTTTACTGTCTTCTTGGAGATGTATTACGGGATCATCAGTATTATGATAGAGCCTGGGAACTTTCAAAACACCGCAGTGCCCGTGCCCAGCGATCAAAAGGTGTTCTCTATCTACGTAATCGGGAGTTTGAAAAATGTGTAGAGTGCTTTGAGAAGTCTGTAAAGATCAATCCAATGCAGGTGAGAAAAAGGAATGAGCATTATAATACAGCTCGTATCTAAAATGAGCCCAGTCTGAAGTGATTTTATTTGTACTGTGTATATGTTTTTCAGGTGTGTGTTATTAATGATCTACAGTTATAGATACTTTTTGTTATTTTGTGTAAAAAAAAAAAAAAAAAAATTGTACTTTTGGAAAGCAAGAAAATGAGATGGTTGCTAACCTGCACTTGCCATGCATGTTAGTCATACTCCTAAAATGAAGAAACATACCCAATACAGAGTGACAACCTGTGAGGGCATATATCAAGCTCCTATGTGCCATGTCCCATAATGATAATCAATTGAACCAAGGAAACATAAAAAGGCCAATAATGGATTTTAGAGGCACTGTATCAAAAATATTTTTTTAAAAATCACTTATTTAAATGAGAAGTCATTAAGCTAGGGCCTCACATACTTTTTCCTCCCTGCACTGTGAATGTTTACATGTTATGTGCAATTAAACCATGGCAACATCTAATGTTTGTGTAGTATTATGTTCAGCAGACTGTGTTCTTCTATTGTTGTGACTTAGATGACGTTCAGAGCACATTTTATGCCCAATTCATGCAAAACTCCACATAATCCCAAGGGGTTCACATACTTTTTCTTGCAACTGTATACTAATATTTGCATGAATCAAGCAAGGACTTTGGCAAGTAAGGCAAGTTAAACAAGTTCATTATAATGTAGTATGTAGTTTATGTGCTACTATTTAAAATTACCTACACTTCTTATTGTATACCTTTTAATAAGACAAATATTCCGGTTTCTATTTTGTACCTCTCTTATTGAGAATGTTTGTTCACTGTCATACTAAAGCTTTAATAGTTTCTAAGGCGCCGGAGTGAATAGCAAAAAGGAGTTATTACACTTTTCTGACACTCATTTACAGCACGCTGGTTCTATCCTTTGACTTGACTTGGCATTGCACACAGCCAGGCAGCATTTTTAGGATGCCAGCAATGTCACCCCACAAACACTGACTGTGTCAGTTGTAGTTTGATACAGGAAATATGCAATATTATTCTCTTGAAAAAGATGTTACATCCAAATCTGTATTTGAAATATGAAAAATATGGATTTGGGTAGTTGAATATGCCATGTTACATTAACATTATCAACGATTCACCAGATGAAAATAATATATGTAGTAAAGAATATTCTAAATGATTATTGGAGAATAAGGAAATCCAGGTATTGCTTGAGCAGGCAAATACTCAAATGAATCCAGAAAGGAAATGTGCTTTTATACATGCGACAAACTAGTGAAAAAAAAGCAGGACAGATGAGCGGCCTCTCCTAGTATGTACTTGATTTTTACCAGGGACATTTGCCTGTTGAGCGTACTGAGAGCAGCTGCCAAGAGAGGTTCTCAGATGGCATCCATTTATGCCACAACCATGGGTTAAAATCCAACTTGGGAAAAAACTATTACATTATGGTAAGAATACTAAAAATATACGCTTTCCAGATGTGCAATATATTGACTTTTTTAAGAGTGTAGCAGTATATCAGCAATAGCAATTACATCAACAATCAAAAAATCTGGTCCCATGACCAGTTGTTGATGGCATGTACAGTCAGGTCCATAAATATTGGGGCATCGACACAATTCTAAAATTTTTGGCTCTATACACCACCACAATGGATTTGAAATGAAACGAACAAGATGTGCTTTAACTGCAGGGTATTTACATCCAAATCAGGTGAACGGTGTAGGAATTACAACAGTTTGCATATGTGCCTCACACTTGTCAAGGGACCAAAAGTAATGGGACAGTTGGCTTCTCAGCTGTTCCATGGCCAGGTGTATGTTATTCCCTCATTATCCCAATTATAATGAGCAGATAAAAGGTCCAGAGTTAATTTCAAGTGTGCTATTTGCATTTGGAATCTGTTGCTGTCAACTCTCAAGATGAGATCCAAAGAGCTGTCACTATCAGTGAAGCAAGCCATCATTAGGCTGAAAAAACAAAACAAACCCATCAGAGAGATAGCAAAAACATTAGGCGTGGCCAAAACAACTGTTTGGAACATTCTTAAAAAGGAGGAACGCACCGGTGAGCTCAGCAACACCAAAAGACCCAGAAAACCACGGAAAACAACTGTGGTGGATAACCGAAGAATTCTTTCTCTGGTGAAGAATTTCCCTTCACAACAGTTGGCCAGATCAAGAACACTCTCCAGAAGGTAGGTGTATGTGTGTCAAAGTCAACAATCAAGAGAAGACTTCACCAGAGTGAATACAGAGGGTTCACCACAAGATATAAACCATTGGTGAGCCTCAAAAACAGGAAGGCCAGATTAGAGTTTGCCAAACGACATCTAAAAAAGCCTTCACAGTTCTGGAACAACATCCTATGGACAGATGAGACCAACATCAACTTGTACCAGAGTGATGGGAAGAGAAGAGTATGGAGAAGGAAAGGAACTGCTCATGATCCTAAGCATACCACCTCATCAGTGAAGCATGGTGGTGGTAGTGTCATGGCGTGGGCATGTATGGCTGCCAATGGAACTGGTCCTCTTGTATTTATTGATGATGTAACTGCTGACAAAAGCAGCAGGATGAATTCTGAAGTGTTTTGGGCAATATTATCTGCTCACATTCAGCCAAATGCTTCAGAACTCATTGGACGCCGCTTCACAGTGCAGATGGACAATGACCCAAAGCATACTGCAAAGGCAACCAAAGAGTTTTTTAAGGGAAAGAAGTGTAATGTTATGCAATGGCCAAGTCAATCACCTGACCTGAATCCGATTAAGCATGCATTTCACTTGCTGAAGACAAAACTGAAGAGAAAATGCCCCAAGAACAAGCAGGAACTGAAGACAGTTACAGTAGAGGCCTGGCAGAGAGCATCACCAGGGATGAAACCCAGCATCTGGTGATGTCTATGCGTTCCAGACTTCAGGCTGTAATTGACTGCAAAGGATTTGCAACCAAGTATTAAAAAGTGAAAGTTTGAATTATGATTATTATTCTGTCCCATTACTTTTGGTCCCTTAACAAGTGGGAGGCACATATGCAAACTGTTGTAATTCCTACACCGTTCACCTGATTTGGATGTAAATACCCTCAAATTAAAGCTGACAGTCTGCAGTTAAAGCACATCTTGTACGTTTATTTTCAAATCCATTGTGGTGTTTAGAGCCAAAAATGTTAAAATTGTGTTGATGTCCCAATATCTATGGACCTGACTGTATGTGTATCCATGGGTAAGCCTGATCAGAATTATTAGCTCTTTTTTGTAGTGCTTCAGGAAAAGGTGCTTATGTGTCTATTTAAGTATTAGATGACTAGAAAACAGCTTCTAGGGTTTACAGTTAACCCTAGCAACCGCAGCACTTCAGTATTCAAAAATACATTTATTATATTAATATATAATATTTAACATTATAAGTCAAGACTAAAATAGATTCAGCAAGTTTGCTCTCCATTTGTTGTCATTTATTATGTTTTATTATTTTCTCTCTGGGTTTAACCTTGAAGGATCACATCACCTGACCTGGTGATGTTTCATGTCTGCTTTTTCAAAAGTTAACATGTTAGACTTAGGAAAACAGTCTTTTATACTGCTCCTTTTTTTTTAAGTCCATTTAATAACACATATAAGTGACATAATGTATTGTAGTAAGAAATGCAATTTATATAAAGAATTAACTTATTATAGGATATGTTCAAAAAGAATTTACGCAAGTAAAAGTTTACACAGCTTGTATGTTTCCGCTTTTATTTTGAGTACAGAAGAAACAGAGAAATGTCACCTGTAGGGTATTCCACTACACAAAAGAGACATAGAAGACAGTAATTTATGTTTGTAATAACACACCCTTCTGTTAGATATAGAAGCCCACAATGAGGTGATGTTCTTTGTGTTAACCCCTCCCGAAGTCCCTGTACACTAGGTCTTAATGCTGTGTTAACCCCTCCCGAAGGTCTTAATGCTGTGTTAACCCCTCCCGAAGTCCCTGTACACTAGGTCTTAATGCTGGTTGCCGGTGTGGACTTCCCAATCATGTGATCACTGTAATTGACTATTACAGTGGTTACATGATCAGGTGCCCTTCCTCCTGGCTCCCAATCACAAACAGAGACTGGGAGCTGCCTGTTACAGCTCATTCCGGTCACTGTGGTGGGAGCACATTCTCAGCACCAACATCTTAGCAATGGATATGTTCAGCGTGTGGGCATTAGAAGCCACTTTCCCTGCCATCACACATAAACATAATGTGGTTGACAAGAGATTAGGGAGGCCATGGCACAGTAAGTTCTTTCAAAACATTCCATGCCCCAACAATAAAAAAAAAAAGTATTAGAAGAAATGAACCACTTGAAAATGTGTTACTCTAATTCAAATAAAACAATAAGAATAATTTGTCAGTTTAAATGATCCTGTTTTAAGTGCAGCACATTAAGGAAACTCAAACTATTAGATTGGTTTGCCAACACACCAATGTAAACTCAACTAGGGTAATCAGACTCAAACAAAATCAAAGGTAGACTTCAGGATTTCTCAGGTATTCCTTTCTGAATTGAGGTGCTATAAATTGGTTAGACTTATGCATGGGAACATGGTAAGGGTGTATTAAATTCATGGGTTCCATAGCTTGAGAAATCTTTTGTGGGTGTCAGAATACTGGTGATTTGGTAATGAGAGAATTGAAGTAGTTTCAACCTGTGCCATTGCAGCCCCTGAGGCATAATGGAGAGTGTGAATGGTTGGGGTGCACTAATCTATAGTAGTTGGTACCATATATCATTGGGTGAGGACTGAGGTGATGGCAGATTCTGTTGGCATTATATTAATAGAACAAGAGACAGCTGTGGGCCAGATTTGGTGCCAGTCCTCTTCAGACCTGGCCGCTCCATGGTCATTTTTCCAGTTGTATGGGTGGCTAAAATGTTAAGTTGTGAGTAGCTAATAGTAATTTTTGGAGAGTTGTGTGCGGTAATAGACATGCTCAGAAAGTGA